ACAAAAAAAAAAAGATAAAGCATTTCAAAAAAGAATCTAAAAGCTAAAATATTTCAGCTTTCTTTGTTAAATAACTTTAATTTACCGACCCCGTGACAAGAAAATAGTTGTAAGCAGAGGAATTTTCTCCAGGTTAAGATATATTCTGTTTTCCCTCACTTATTTTTGTTTACTTGAGGGATTCTCAATAGTGACAGGACTGTTACCTAGCCGGTATTTGGAAATACAAGCAGCTTTCCAGAAATGTGTGTAGAGGCATTTTATTATGACAGTAATTAGCGGATTACTACTGGCAATCAGTGGCTGGGAGTCAGGGAGGTTCAGCATTTGCCGTGTGCTAGACACAAAAAAATCTCCCCTCTCACATGATTTATGAATGTGTCACATGACTAATTGCACCATACATATGAATCAGTATTACTTTCACAATAAAACTATTGAAGAGTTTTTATAAGAAGTTACATAAAAATGCCCCAGTAATTTTTGGAGTGTAATAGAGTAAATAACTTTTAGAAAAATTATTGAGTTATTGAATAATTCACTCACCCTGCATGACAGCACATTTAAAGAACACCAATGTGCCCTCTATTCAGCTTTAACAAGCATTAACATTTGCCACATTTGCTTCAAAAATTTTTTGAACCCAAATAATATATTACCAATACAATGGAAGCCCCTTTTATATTACTTCTCAATCCCAAACTCTCTTTTTAAGTTTACATTTTATACTTTCTATAACCTTAATAAGAATTTCTTCTTAGATAGAAAATATAAATAAATAAGACATTCCATATTTAGGTCTTTTAGTAGATCTAGAATTGACTTTTATGTGTGGAATTAAACTTTCAATTACACTCTCTTCCATGTAGTTATCCAATTGTATCAGGACCATTTATTCAATAATACTTTCTTTCCTCACTGATTTGTAAAGCCATCTCCAGCATATATCAAATTCCATATATGGGTGGGTCTAGGTCCACTTTGTGTTCTCTCTTCTGTTTTACTAGTTTATATTAGTAACACTGCATTAGTTTTCTTTTGGTTAGTATTTGCCTGATATATTTTTTTTATCTCTTTTTGACCATTATTTAAAAATTTTTATGTTTATCTATAAATAGCATGTATTTGGATTTAAACATATATCTGAAAATCTCTTTTAATAGGTGATTTAATTAGCTCACGTTCTTTCTGTGTTCTTTCTATTCTTACGGCATTAATTGACTTTTCTTTGTGCTACCCTGTCCCCCTCCATTGGTTTAGAAGTTATATATTCTCTTTCTATTCTTTTAGTGATTATCTTAAATTAAATTTTTAGCATGCAGTCTTGCACTCTACATTTCTTGTGAGGAGAGAACATTTCTGTCCTTCGTTCTGGACTATCTTTTCAAATGCGTTTGTATAAAAAACAGCCTTGGGAAAACAGATAGAATCTCCCTTTGGAGCACAGGACAAGTTTACTTACAGCCTTGGAAGAAAAGGATAGTCTCTCCTATCTCTTTCTCTCCAGAATAAAGGGAAAGCATGTATACTACCCATTTAAAATAATTCAAATTCCCAGGCCAGGTATGGTGGCTCATGCCTGTAATTCTAGCACTCTGGAAGGCTGAGGGGGGAGGATTGCTTGAGGCCAGAAGTTTGAGACCAGCCTGAGCAAGACCAAGATCCCTGTCACTTCAGAAAATACAGCAGTTGGCCCAGCATGGTGGCGCATGCCTGTAGCCCCAGCTACTCTGGAAGCTGAGGCAGGAGGATGGCTTGAGCCCAGGAATTTGAGGTTGTAGTAAACTATGATAATACTCCTCTACTCTAGCTGGGGTGAGAGAGAGAGAGAGAGAGAGAGAGAGAGAGAGAGAGAGAGAGACAGACAGACAGACAGACAGACAGACAGACCGACCCTGTTTGAAAAAAAAAATTCCAATTCCAATTCCCTAAGCTCATGCATTGTATATGCAGTTATCATCTGGCCCTCAATGTTGTCTCCATGGGATTTGGGAGAAAAGGGAATGAACACAAATATGCTAAAGCCCATGCTGCTTGCTATGCTATGAGTGATAAAGTCTTGTGTTCTGCTCATGTCCACGAAATAGTAACAGGCTAATTTGTTAGAGTAAAATCAAATCTCAGGTCCCAAAGATTCCCAGACTTAATATCTAAATACAATGAGCATATTTCTGTTCTGATCAAAAGAATGCAAAAACACTGGAGTTTTTAACTGGTTCCCATCTACTCTTACTTTTCATGTTACTGTTATCTATAATTTTATTTTCACCTTACTATCAGCCCTTCCCAAATTGGCTTTATATATAAACATTTAAAAGTTTAATATACATTGTTTAATCAGATTCACAAACTTGTAGGATTCGATGAGTGATTATATTTAAAGAGGATGAAACAGTGCTTGGTACACAATAAGCATTCAGTATGTGCTCAGATTATTGTTTTAACAATGTTTTTTACTCACCACTGCTTCTTATATCACATTCAGAATTCAATTTTCTGATTAACTAAAGCAAAGATAAATTATTTTTCTGTTACCTTTCTTAGTACCAATTCTGTTCATGAATATGTTTAATGATTTTTATTAGACTGTCTTTATAATTCTATATATATTTGTCTACATAAATGTTTTCTGTCAATCTATAACACTGAACCAATGTAATTTTCTATTCATGATTTAATTAGGTGCTTTCAAGAGAATTTTTAAAAAATAATTATCGCTTCTTTTAGTCTGTATCTTGGATATTAATATTCTTTCTCTCTCAAAAATGTGACATCATTATCAACTTGGCAGTCAGTGTTTTGATAATTTCTTTGACTCTAGCATAAGGTTTAATCTAATATTATACTGTATTATACCTCACATAATGTGAGGCAAGAAATTTGGGGTTATATCAAATGAATAGTTGATAATATACTTATTGGCTAATTTTTTATAAGTTTTTCATCTCTATAATTATAGGGCTTGTCTGTGTTTTGTCTGCTTGTTTTGTAACCTGAATGTGTTCTTTACAGAGCCCTGAACTTAAATGAAAGGTAAACTCTTCATAAGGTTATTAAAGAGGCCTGATGATTATATCACAGAGAGTTATAGCATAATACAAAAAGCAATGAACTAGAAGTAAGTAGACTTATGTTTTAGTATCTATTCTCCCAATGGAAAATATATCAGACTGGAGGCAGAAAGCTGATGCCAAATGATGTGAGTTAAAGTTTTAGTTCTGTTCTTCACGAAGACTAAATTCCTTATCAATTAAATGCTGAAAACATTTATAAACCTTACAAATTTGTTTTTGAGAATCCAATGAAAATAATGTCTATGAAAGTTATTTTTAAACTTCAAAGCACTTTGCAAGTACTTATACTACCAGCATTATTGTCTACACTTTAAAGGCACTGAGTATTCATATAATAATAAACATTTTCCACTCTAATCTTGATCGTCAATATACTTGTTTCTGGATGCAAGCCTTTTTTACAGGAAAGGCACAATCAGGAAACAAAGAAGTTTAAGATAGACTATAGAAATCTCTGTCTCAAAAAGCATTTTTTGAGGTTTATAAAAACCTATGATAATATATCTCCAATAATCTTTTATTATTTCTTTTTCAATTTGAAAGATAAGTTTTTATTGATTTAAAAAAATCCTTTATATAAGTATTTTTCAAATTGAGGTTCACAAAATCAACTTACTTGGTATAGATCTTTAAAAAAATAATAAAATGCATCACATGTAAGAATTATAAAATGTTTTATAAAATTTGTTTCAGTTATATACACACCTACATAGTACCACTCCCAATTTTTTGTATCCTGGGTCTCAATATAAAATACAATTTCTTCCTATGTATTGTAGGAATAAATAAGTTTTAAAAACACTGCTTTATAGTGTTCTATTAAACATCATATAATACAGTTTTAGAAAATTTTTCACATTACAAAAATAACATGTTCAATTAAAAAAAATTAAAAACTATACTTACAGTTCCCCCCAAATCAAAACTCCTCCAACCCAATAGAATCTTAATGTTCTAGTAGCTTTTCAACTTTTCTATGTATATGCTTACATATACTAAATTTCATTTTATGAAAATGAGATATAATAATATCTTATAAACTGTATTTGCTACTTTAACAATATGGAACATGAACATTTTTATTCTTTAATCAGTAACTTTTCAATAAAGCATCTCCCTGAAAAATTATAATTGCTTGAGGGCAGCACCTTCAATTTAACTTCTGAATAAGTAACATATTCACAGTGCTAAAAAAAAATTTTAAATGTAAAGTGTAACAAGTAAACAGTTTCCTGTACACCTCTGCTACCAATTTTAACCACCTCCCCAAACAGGTAACCTTTGTTATTAATTTTTTTCACTTTCATTTATTTTTTTATTTTTTATTATTGACAAATAATAATTGTATATATTTATGGGGTACAATCTAATGTTTTGATATATGTTTATCCAACAGCCTTTTAAAATGGGCTTGACTCCATGTCACAAACCACAAATGAGGTACAGGCTAAGCCATGCCCTGGCTAACTTTTGAGTGTCAACTCTGAATTCTAGCAAGTTAATGAAGTAATGAGCAAAATCTGTCAAAGCTTCCAAGGTAATATGTCAAGCAAAATATAAAAGCATCTACTTAAGATTTCACTTAAGCATAAATTTCTTATTTCTTCAAAACCAGGCATCAATATCATAAAATCCAAGTGAAAACTCTTCACAACATAGTTTAATACAACACTCTCAATTAATGGCTTTTTCAAAAACAATTTGATAGGATCAAGTATGTAAGAAAAATAAGCTTTTTCCTTTACTTAAAGGGGGAATGTGGAAGGTAACTACAAAAACTTTCTTAACAGGAGGCTATAATTAGTAGCAGTAACCTATTCAAAATTGGACTTTTATGCCAATAGAAGTTTTAAAAATACACTCTTTTGTGCTGCAAATTCCTCCTTTATTTTTTACCTCATGTTCTATTATACACCAAGTACTTACATCTGGAATAAACCCAATCTCGTTGAGATGATTACTCAGTTCTGGATCATGGAAAGCAATCATCTGAGAGAACACTGTCAGATACTCTGAAATAACATCAAATATAATTATCGTTTTTACAAAGCACCTCAGAGACATTAAATTCAAATACAGTTTTATTTACATACTGAATGAGATTTAATTTATCCATAAAAAAAGATACTTTAATAAATAATTTTGGCTTTTTTATTATTTTAATTACTTACTGCTAATTATTAAACAAATGTACCAAAAAACTATGCCACAACTTATTTTCTGCCTTCAGATCTATCAGTTTATTTCCTGAGACACAAACATATGATATATGATGTTTTCCTATTAAACTCTACAAATACATTTTTTCTAGTAATACTAAATCTGTTTCACATTTATTGAATATTCAGAAAGTGTAACAGATCTCTAGATAAGGAATAAGGAACAACATTTATAAGAGTCACAAATAGAACAATTATGCCTCATATCTGTTTAATATACAGATAGAGGCATCTGTTACATTTCTAATTTATTTCCATCTAAAACTTTGCATTTGGCATATTTCAAAATAAGAACTAACATCATGTCAATCATAAAGTAGGCATACAGTAGATAATTAAAAATATCTTTGATTCTAATCCTATTCATAGGGTTCAGCTGAAATGTGAGGAATAAGTTCTTGTTTTCATTTTTTCCATATCTTTCAAAGTTACTATTCTTGTCAATTTACAATGTAAATTGATCTAAACAAGATTGTGGTAGCAATCTACACAAGGGCAAGTAACTATCATATTTTTATTCACTAAAAAACCAAAGTTAATACATGTCAATGAGCTCAATTTCCTTTTCTTTTTTGAAAGTGAAATGATGATACTTAGTCCAAGAAAGTTTTTCTTTAATTAATGATCTTGACTCTCTCCTTCAATAAAGTAACGTCTATTTTTCAATCCAATTATTTGGTGAAAATAACCTCTAAAAATAATGTTTGCTTTGCTTTTTCAGTTTTAAAATTTCTTATGTTTAGTATTTCAAGAAATAGTAGTAATCCTTTGATATTCCATCAGTACAAGTAGTCTTCCTTATTTTTCTCAAATAAAACTTTGCTTCTAATGTTCACATGTATTTTATAGATATTTACCTATAAGCAACATCACATATTTTACACAAAAGAACATCAGTCAAAAAGAAAAGAAGAGGTGCTATATTTCATGTATAAAGCTGAATTACTGATCTAACGTGAACTTTTACCCATGCTGGATAAATAATGGGTATCCAAGTGATACTTTTTCTTGACTTGGTATTTATTCTATTGTAACAGAATTCATTTTATCTATCCATTGTCTCACCTCTTCCTCTCTGAACAAAAAGATACAATTTACATTAGCTTCAAGAGTTACAGATCAGAGTGGAGACCTAAGACATATCTGAAGGACTCAGGAAACTTCTGGGTTTAACTTCTCTTTACCTTTTTTATTTCTTCTTCCAATTAGTGATTATGTTTTTATAGTCCTAATTTACTTAGAAGCCAGAGATACATAACATTAACAATCAAAAGCATTCAACTGTATATTGATGAAAGCATATGGTTCTTAATTTCTAAAGGGGAACTCCTCATTTTAAACCAGAAATTCATGCTTCAGGCAATTTTCCATAACTAAGCTCCAGTTTATTAAATATCATTCTTATTTGAGCCTGATTAAAATAATTACTACATGAAATTACATGGCTAATTAAGGATCTACTGAAGAAACCTAATTCATCATGAAAACATTTTCCTGCTCTTCTGTCAATGCCAAACACCGATGGCTGGATTTATATGATATGTGTTTTTTGTTTTTGTTTTTGAGATGCAGTCTCACTGTGTTGCCTGGGCTAGAGTGCCAAAGCATCAGCCTAGTTCATAGCAACCTCAAACTCCTGGGCTCAAGCAATCCTCCTGCCTCAGCCTCCCAATTAGCTGGGACTACAGACATGCACCACCACACTCGGCAAATTTTTTCTATTTTTAGTAGAGATGAGGTCTCACTCTTGCTCAGGCTGGTCTCAAACTCCTGACCTCAAGAGATCTTCTGCATCGGCCTCCCAGAATGCTAGTATTACAGGAGTGAGCCACTACGCCCGGCCCATGATATGTGTTATAACTGCATACACACACACAAATATATACATTTACTTTATACATTATTATAGGTTACATATATTACTTCAGATATATAATTTGTAAAACTGGCATAAGTTTTCGTTGCTCAGGACAAGCTTTTGAATAAGATATGGTATGGGTTGTTATACTTAGATTGCTTTCTTTAAATGGGGGGATATGATAGAACTATCATATTCCAAGTTATTTCAAAACAGCATTTAAAAGTCTTCTAGAGCAAACTTAAAATATATCAAAATGCTTATGTCCTTTGAATTTTAAATCCAGCTGAAAGAATTTAGGGTAGCAACAAAAAATAAACAAACAAATAAACAAACAACCCAGACCTGTGGTCAGAATAAAACAAAGGACTCCCTGGATGTTACTGCCGACTCTTTAAGGAGATATTAAAGTGTTGTTAAAACCCTGTAATTGGCCAGGCATGGTGGCTCACATTTGTAATCCCAGCACTTTGGGAGGGCAGGGCACTTAGCTTGAGCCCAGACCCTGTCTCTACAAAAAAAAAAAAAAAAAAAAAAAAAGAAAATTAGTCTGTAGTTAAAAAGTGTGAAACTCATCTTTTTCATGTTAGAAATTCAGTATCAATATATAGTATACACATCCATCTGAGATACTAAACAATTAGTGGAAAAATGAAATTTTTAGAGGGAAATAATTTTTGTATTTTTTAATAGGAATCTACACAGAGCCAAAATAGAAACCAATGTAACAGAAGATGTCCAAAGTAGACCTCTAAGAGCTGGCCATGTAGCCAGGCATCATCCAGCCATCTAAAAATCTAACCAGTATATTTTCTGAGTCTTATTTTCACTGCTTCCTTGAGGATTCTACAATATTTTCATCTTTCTGAAGTATACAAATTTAGCTAGACACTGTGCTTTAACAGGGGTTTGACAAATCTGGAAAAGGAAGATTTCTCGGCTTTTATATTTGAAGTCTCAGTAAACATTATAATTTAATGTTAGTTTTAAAACTAACAGTATTATATTGCTGATATATATAACTGTGGATTGAGAAATCTGCTTTTGCTTTGCACAAATATTCGCTTGATTATTGCCTATCTTTGATCTTTTTAGTTTGTCTTTGGTCCCTATTTGGCAGATTATTTACATTGCATAGCCTCTGAAATCTTATTTTATCATCCAAGGTGTTATAAAAAGTCAAACAAAAAATTGTGCCTTTTAAAAAACATTCTCAAATTAATCCTAACTTTATACAAGTACATATTATACAAAACATACAGGAAATCGGTCACATCCATTTCAAACCCAACCATTTCAAAATATGAACATAATAGAGCTTACATTTAAAAACTAATATAGAGACACTGAATCACTATTTCAATTTCTGGCACCAATCTACATTGTAGAATGAAGAAATATATAAATGATTACATGACTCAGTTGTAAGTTTGAAGGTGGCTGAAGGACATGTCCTAAATGAATTTATAAACGGGTTATGCTATAACTTGGATTCCAAAGGAGGAGGCATATTTTAGGGAAGCAGAAAAAAAGTGAGTACATTTTGGGTGTGCAAGCATGAGGAATGAGATGAACGAGAAGTGTTTTTGATAATATACTTACACAATTAAACAATGTCTAAGCTTTTTACTAATTCACAGCAAGCATGCTCCATGGTGAAGCATTTTGTAATTTTAATTGTGAGGGACACAAATAGTAGTAGGTTTTAGTGATGGGCCATCACCATGTTTAAATCATAAATTTAACTGGGCACTGGTTACTTTTGATATGAGCATTATCCCTGAAAAAAAGACAAGGAAAGACATTTTCTTACCTTGTATTACATGTGAGTTGTCTTTTAAGAAGAAGTTATACAGGTATTTGGGAATAAAAGCAGACATACATGCGTAAGCCAGGGCTAAGAAAGAATAAAGTAAAGGCACATAAACAATTAGTTAACAGGGTACACAACCAGTAATAATTCACTCACTTAGCACACATTCCTTGAGTTTGCTATTAAATAATAGTTATGGTAATAAGTGCTGGAAACACAAATTAAGGGGAAAAAAGCCTCTGAGCTTTAAAACAGAAAATATTTTCAACAACAAAAGATAATCACTCTACTACCTTCAATTTAAAACTACTGTGACAATCATTATCCCACAATAAAAACTTTTCAGCACCTGAACTTTATGTTTTTATAAATTTCTACATACAATCATTATTTATAAGCTATATGAATCTCAAGACCCTTGATTACTGCTGATGCAAACAAGAGCCTGTCAACTTTGAATTTAGGAATACTTGTTATATATCTGGGTGATGGACACACATGTAACTTTGACTCAAACTATATGAAAATAATTCATGTAACCAAAATGTTTGTGCACCTGTAATATTTTAAAAATTTTTTAAAAAGGAATAGTTGCTATAATCTGTATTTGGAAACACAGTCCCTTTACTATTCTTGGGCTAATATGAGTGGTAATTGACTATACCTAACTAAACTCAGCAAAAACTCTAGTCTAGGCTAATGAGTGAGGATATCAGATAATGGTGCATTTTAAAAACCATTCAGGGAGGAGGATCAAGATGGCGGACGAGAAACACCGCCAGACAAAGTGTCTCTGCAGAAAAGACAGATTCTAGCAGAAATTAGAAAAAAGCAGCAAGAAGAGAGCATACAGCGGACGGGGCCGGAAGGAGGGGTACCTGAGACCCCGGGAGACTCCACGGGAGGAGGTTGCGGAGGAGAACTAGAAGCCGAGACCGCCGGAGCAGCCCGGAGACCAGCGGGAAGGGTAGGTGGATAAGTCACCTTTCCCCTCCCCTGCATCTGGGACTGCTGGTGGGCTCCCCAGCGGTGGAGAGACCTACGGACACCAGCCCAGAGACGGCTGCCACCAGCTAGCGGTGAGCCAGTAGCGGATGCAGCACCAGGCTCCCAAATCCCTCAGACACCTCCATGTGCACAGACCTGGGCTGCGTGGCAGGCGCTATATTGCCTCCTTCTCCCCTCCCCCACCCTACCCGCGGCTGCCAAGAGAGACAGCCAGAGGCACCAGCCGGAGGCACCTCCAGGGAACGGGACCTTCCCTTTTGGCACCCTACAGCTGACTGAGGGGAAATCAGACTGTGAGCTCCCTACCCGCCAGCTCTCCCAGGTGCTGCAGGCACCGTGATCACAGGAGAACGGGGCAGACCCTGAGGCTGAGAGACATAGACAGAGCTTGGGCTCTCTGTCGGTGAATTGGGACCGGCACTCCTCTCCCTGGTGGGGAAATAGTTTGAACTCTGGGACCCAGAGATCAGACCTGCAGACCAGATCCTGTGCACCACGGTCTCGCATTGCCCCGGGCACAGAAGGGATATACGGGAACAACCTACTGAGGCGTGTGTGCCTTCAGGGGCAGATCAGCGTCCTAGAGGGCAACCTCCTACCAAAAGGAGGCCATAAGCCCAGCCCAGGTAGTGTTCCTGCACAGGGAACCTCCCCGCCGGCATCACAGTCCGGGGAGGCCTGGTGGCGTGTGGTCTGGCCTGCTGGCAGCGGCCCAGGAGTAGCCGTGGAGTTGGGGAGGGTGGAAAGAAGCGAGGCCCGCTCCAGACTGCGGGTCTCAGACAACCCCACCCCCACACGCAGACTTTGTGGCTGAGCAGGACCATTCCAACCCGCCCTGAAAGCTTTTCCTGGAAGCGGAGAACAGAACTTTGATCCCTCCTAACTGCACAGGTGGTGCCTGAGGGCAGGCCTACCCAACCCAGCTCCGCCCAGACTCTCTCCTAGACCAGCCCTCACTGAGGGAGAGAAAAGGACACACCTGGAAGTCCCAGGGCCCCACCCACCACCCGAGGCACTAGAGTGCCTCCCTACAGGAACAAGAGCTGATACCAGGACACAAAAACAACAGCATAGCCTGTTCCTCCAAGCAAGCGCCACCTACTGACAGGAGGAAACC